AGGGCCTTATTCATGGTGGGTTTTGGTCTTCACACTTGCCCACCCCGGGGAATGTTTTAAACAGGAGGTCATCGACCAACCTTCCCACCCCTGGAATGTTCTAAACAAGCGCCCTCTAGATCAAACCATACCACATACATCCTGTCATTCAATTGTAGCAACATTCCCAACATAAGCAAGTGTTCAATAAAATAGATAAAACCATAAAAATCACTGAATTTCATTGCCTCTTGATAAATTTTGTGATTTACATTCTCGTTCAAATTTCTCAGACGTCGTACAGAAGTGATAACGTATGTGAAAAGAAAAAATTTTCAAACATAATATTTTTTCAGATTAGCTATGTTCCATGACCTGGCAAGTGATCGGCCTTCAGCGTCTTTAAGCGAGTACGCTCCTCCTGCGTGCACTCGCTCGACCAGGTATGGTCCTTCCCAGTTTGGCTCCAGCTTTCCCACGTGCTTGAGTACGTCGACACGTTTCCAGACTGAATCGCCGACTTGAAGTCTACGAACCTTCACTTTCTTGTCGTGAGCCGCGCGCATCCTCTGCTTATACGCCTCCACCCTGACTGCTGCCTTCCCTCGTAGTTCCTCAATAGTGTCTAAAGCCGCTATCATCAAGTCCTCATTCTGCTCCGTATTGTATGCGCTCGACCTCTGGGATGGCATCTCGATCTCAACCGGCAGTAATGCCTCCATTCCGTAAGCCAAGCTGAACGGGGTCTCTCCAGTGGTCGACCGCGGAGTTTTACGATACGCCCACAACACAGAGTTCAACTCATCGACCCATGCTCCCGAGGCTTTATCCAACTTTGTTTTTAGCCCGTTCAATATGATCCGATTGGTTACCTCGACCTGGCCGTTGGCTTGCGGATGAGCTACCGAGGCGAAATGCTGCTCGATTCTCATATCTTCACACCACGCTCGAATCCGCTTACCATTGAATTGGGTGCCGTTGTCGGAAATCAACACCTTGGGTACACCAAAACGGCAACAAATGTTGCTATATAGGAATTTGATTACTTTCTCTTCTGTGATCTTTGCCAAGGGCTCAGCCTCCACCCATTTCGTGAAATAATCGACCGCCACTATCAAGAATTTCATCTGCCCCGTTCCCTTCGGCATTGGCCCCACCAGATCGACCCCCCATTGAGCGAAGGGTATAGGGGCACTCA